ATGAGCCCCAAGAATTCCACTCTTTGGAATCTGTGTACCTGATGGCTGTCGGCAAGTTTTGTGCTCAAATAAACTCCACATTTAACCATTTTTTTCTGAAACTTGTTATTTAGAGTTGACAATATCATATGGCAGCCAGGAGATGGCCTGCAGATGTGAGTCACACACCACTGGATGACACCTAACTGTATTAGAAAGCAACATTCTAAACTGTCACATGACTGCTTTGCTTCCCTCCACGTGGCCAACCCTGGGTGAGCAGCTAATGCCCTTATCTGATAAGGGGCACCTGGGCTGGAGTGTCTGTGGCTTGATGAACTCAGTTTATAAAGCTTCCCACTTTACTATTGATCTGAGCCACTGTCTGTGCAGCTGGACTAAGGCCTGGCTGAGGATGGGCAGTGGCTGCACCAGCACAGTGGACCTTTCTTCCTGTTCATTTCTTCCAAACCAAAGGTCAGCATCTTCAGACTCCTATTTCATCCCGAGCCCTGCAGGGACAATGCACAGAGTCCATTCTCTTAGAGGGAAGCTTCCACAGCTACAGCCTGGAGACCCCACCCCAGGACTGTCCCTGAGGACCACCCAGGCCCTATGTCTAACCAAATGTCCATTCCTCTAACCTGAGGGCTCTGTCTCTTCTCACCACTCTCCCCAGCAGCACCCTAAACAGTAGGGATCCTGTCCTCATCCCACCACATTTATATCCATATCAAAACCCCAGTCTTTCCTTTACAAAACCAAAATGTGGCACACAAACACCATGGAATACTGTGCATCCATCAAAAAGAGAGCTCATGTCCTTTGCAGGGACAAAGATAAAGCTGGAAGCCATCACCCTCAGCAAACTAACACAGGAGCATAAAACCAAACACCGAATGTTCTCATTTATGAGTATGGGAGGGGAACATCACACACTGGGGCTGTCAGGGGCAGGGGGCAAGGGGAGAGCAGCAGGACAAATACTTAATGTATGTGGGGCTTAAAACCTAGATGACAGGTTGATAGGTGCAGCAAACCACCATGGCACATGTATACCTGTGTAACTAACCTGCACATTCTGCACAGGTATCCCAAGCTTGAAGTAAAATTTAAAAAAGCAAACCTCAGAATCAAGATTGCTAATGTACTGTGTGATATGTCGGCAACAGTATTTGAAAGAGTTTGACTTTTAATTCGCCTTTCTTGTCGTGTCTTTTTTTTTTTTTTTGAGACGGAGTTTCGCTCTTGTTACCCAGGCTGGAGTGCAATGGCGCGATCTCGGCTCAAGGCAACCTCCGCCTCCTGGGTTCAGGCAATTCTCCTTCCTCAGCCTCCTGAGTAGCTGGGATTACAGGCACGCGCCACCATGCCCAGCTAATTTTTTGTATTTTTAGTAGAGACGGGGTTTCACCATGTTGACCGGGATGGTCTTGATCTCTTGACCTTGTGATCCACCCGCCTCGGCCTCCCAAAGTGCTGGGATTACAGGCTTGAGCCACCACGCCCAGCTTATCATGTCTTTTATAGAATTTGCTATCATGATTTTCCCAGTTAAAAGAGAGCAGTGTGAGTGTGTTCTTGTACATACAAAAATTGAAGTTACTTCTACTTAAAATATAGATAGACTCACAGGGAGACAATAAAAATGGACGTTTGCATGATGGAAAGATATGATTTGCATTCGTTTTTAGGTGACGGTTGTTTTACCCGTGGCGCAGAGCACACATGTGACATGCGCAGACTGCTGCCTTCCTACAAACACTGTTACACCACCCAGATGTAAGCCCCCTGCCGGTTCATCTGCAGCTAATTTCCAGGCAGTAACCCCAGGTCATACCTACTCTGATCATGATCAACACATTTTAAATGTATTTTTAAACATCATATAAATGCAAACCTACAGTATATACTCTTTTGTTTCTGATTGAAAATTATATGTGAATATGTGAATTTCACCCATGTTCCACGTGATGAAACATCTGTCATTTTGTACTGCTGGGTCAGTATGTAACATTGTAGAAAGTTGGCACAACTAGTTCACGCCTCTGTGTTTTTTACTTTGTCTCTGCTGTTTCCCATGATGGTTGCGTGAAACAAGGCTTCTGTAAAGTCCCCCAGGTGGACACCAACATCCTTGGCTCATACACGTCTCCTGGACATAGGTGGCAGGAGTGGGACTGTAGGGTCACAGATGCTGATGACTGTGGTACACACTAGAAAGCCATTTATCAAAATGGTTGAAACTAAGTATGTTCCCAGAGTAACACGACAGTTCAAGCTCCTCCACATCCTCACCACCCTTTGCATTCTTGTCTCTGATAACGTGCCTATTCTGGTGGGTGTAAGAGCGATAAACTAGTTTCAATGTGTTCTCTGCTAATGACTTGGGAGTGAGCGCATTTTCATGTGCTGAACTTGCTGAGGTTTCTAGGATTTTGATAAGTCACACACCATTATGAGCTCCTGAATGGCTATTTAAGGTGCTTTGTTAGAAGAAGGATCCAACAGGCAAAATTGCAGAGGGATATGGAACAATGGAAAGATATTAGCAAGGACAATCTAGATTTCAGGAAAAAAAATAGAAAAAAACATAAAATGGAAATGTCACTAAAAATGGACAAATATCACAGCAAAGCAATTAAGAGAAGGCAAAATGTGAGTGAATAAAAGTCACATGAACACATGTTCTGATCCACCTGAGTTGAAAGAAACCCCTGTGGAGCCCAGCACGTCTGTGTGGGAGGAGCTGCCTGGAAGAGCAGAGAGCAAAGCAAAAGGGCTTGGGGGGAGCAGGATAGGAGTGGCAGGAGTAGCCAGAGCCCCCTCAGCAGGAAGCCAGGGAGAGGGTTTGGAGATCAGCCAGCCAGGGGCAGGGGCAAGCAAAACCTATAGGTTCCTGTGGATGCCCTAGAATTGAGCAGTTACTTCTGAGTGAGGCATGAAACCCATGAGTGTTGAGCAGACAACTAACGTTGCAATTTAAAAAATAAAAATAAATTTCCAGTCAGGCTGTGGAGCTTCAGAAGCTCTTACTCACAACAGGGCTATTTACAAGCTCAGCCATCCGGCAGGAAGTCCCTCAGCACATAGTAACATTAAGTGTGCACCCTCCATGCGGCTAGTCCACTGTGGTTCAGATATGGAGGGAAACGCGCAGGAGGAAGTCATCACTGGTCATGTGGTATCAGCAACAACCTGGCTGCTCAGCGCAGGGTTTAAATGAAAATGTAGTTTACACAGTGCTGACCCGTTGGAAGTAACAGAAATGGTTCATATGCAAATGGATGAAACTAAGTGTTTAAGTCTGAGTTTAAATCTTAGAAAAAATAAAAAATAAACACGATGAGCCCTAAAGAGGAAAAATTATTTGCTTAAGAAATAGAAACACACTATGAATTCTTTAAGTATCTGTAGAGATGATTTGGAAGTTGGAGTGGAACCGCATGATTTACACTTGAGTTGGTGACTAAGAGATGCAGGAAAACATGATTTGAAATGGTGACACAGGCCGGGTATTGTGGTTCAAGCCTGTAATCCCAGCACTTTGGGAAGCCAAGGCAGGTGGATCATGAGGTCAAGAGATCGAGACCATCCTGGTCAACATGGTGAAACCCTGTCTCTACTAAAAATACAAAAAATTAGCTGGGCATGGTGGCACGTGCCTGTAATCCCAGCTACTTAAAAAGCTGAGGCGGGAGAATTGCTTGAACCCAGGAGGCGGAGGTTGCGGTGAGCCGAGGTCACGCCATTGCACTCCAGCCTGGGTAACAAGAGTGAAACTCCGTCTCAAAAAAAAAAAAAAAAAAAAAAAAAAAAAAATGGTGATAAAGAAAAATATGAAAAAGAGGCCTTTAGGTGGCTGATGATGAGTGTTAACAGTGTGAGTAAACTCTGTGCTTCTGGGTCCCAGGAAACACCGACAGATAGAAAGTGCCACACATGCTCTGCTGGCACAGCTGGCAGGAACAAGTGACCTCCCTTCAACCCACGCCCCCTTTATTTAGGATTCCCGGCTGCCCTGGCCCCTCTCTGAAATCATGAGCAGCTTCAGAAAGGAGGATCAGGACAGCCAAGGCTCTCCACCTGAGATTCCCCGGTGTGTCAGAGGCAGGAAGGCTCTGGGGTCTGACGGCAGTGAGGGACACTCCTGACATGGCCTCTCCCAGCTGGAAAATGACTCAGAGCCTCCATGGGAGTTTGGTCATCAGGGTGCCCACTGGGTAGATTTGGGTGGCAACACTGACCTGCTAAGGCACACCTTCACCCCACCGGGTCAGCTGTGAGAACTCAGGGCAGAGGGGCCCAGGAACAGGCAGGTCACAGCTCTTACTTAAATGCAGTGGCTCTGCTCCCGTAAAGGTTTTGCGAGATGTAAGGTGCCTTCGGAAAGCTGAGGCTCCACAGCAGAGTGTCAGGAAGCGGAGTGGCATCTGAACCATCCCCAGGGCTACTCTCTACCCTCCTCACTCACTGTACAGAGGAGGGGGCACCTCACCTGGGAACAGGGATCCACAGTCGGCTCTGCTCCACACACCCGCCCTCCTCACTATGCTGATTCTGACCCACAGTCCCTCCCCTGTCCAATTTAGGGTCTGTGGCCCAGGCAGGGCCGGCTCAGCCACCCTCAGCATCCAAAGGTTCTGAACAAATGCCACAGCTGTCTGCACTGACAGCAGCAACACTGGCAATGCTGACAGCTGGGGCCAACGTGACACGTTCTTCACATATACAGGCTATGAGCATTTTCTGTCACTGTGCTTTGTAAGGCATTTTCTTAAAGGGGACTTTTGCTAGGCCAGATAGCTTCAATACTTATGGAGACCAATGCTTTTTTCTCAAGATCAGTATTTTTCTGTCCTAAAACAACTATCTATGTGCATAGATATACAACCATGTGTATATATACATACACACACATGTATATAGCTGTATATATACACATACACATGTTCATATAAAAAACATTTGAATTATATCTCAAAGTTCCGCTAAAAAATGAACGGCTTGATATTCTAGTGCTAAGTAAGGGAGGGCTTTATTTGAAACAGTTTCCAGTAGATTCCTTTAAAAATATTATAGCAGGGATTTCTGGATCACCCCACTCCCACCTTTTTATAATTTTTGACTCTTTTCCAGTCTTGAATGCAATGAGGTGGAGGTGGAGGAAAGCCAGTGGGAACAGGAGAGCTGGTGTCGGGTGAGGCAGAGTGGGGAGAGAAGCTCCTTTAAATGGAAGCCTCTAGAACCCGAAGAAAGCAAGGGTGAGGTGGGCAATCTTCCCGCAGAGCTACCAGAGAAAGACATTAGACCCAACACTCCTGTTCACAAACACAGACAGAGGCATCTGTTTTCTTTCTTTCTTTTTTTTTTTTAGAAGAAGAAGGGGAAAAAAAGAAAAAGAGGGAAAAAGGAATATTACTTCATTCCTAAAATGGGTTTCAATAATGGCCGATCAATATTTTGAGTGTTTAAAGTGGTTAATGCGTATTTTATGTGTTTAAAATGGAGACCTCTATTGTGTTTATTTGTTCTGGCTCTGAGTTCAAGTCCTGGATATCGTTATCAATTTGTTGTCTCGTTGAATCTAAATCTCATTATGTGTCTTATGTATCTGGGTGTTAAGATCTCTTATTGTTGCATTAATCCTTTTACCCTTGCATCCTTGTAGCTTTGAAATCTATTTTATTAAGTGTGAGAATTGCAACTCCTGCTTTTTATTTATTTATTTTTGCTCTCCATTTGGTTGGTGAGTTTTTTTTCCATCCCCTTGTTTTGAGTCTTTGTATATCTTTAGATATATCGTTAGATTTTGTGGATAATGTATATTTTGTGTGTTTAAAATGGAGAGCCCTATTGAGTTTATTTGTTCTGGATCTTAGTTCCAGTCCTGGATATCGTTTTCAATTTTCTGTCTCGTTGAATCTAAATCTCATTATGGGTCTTATGTATCTGGGTGTTAAGATCTCTTATTATTACATTAATCCTTTTATTCTTGTAGCTTTGAAATCTATTTTGTCAAATGTGAAAATTGCAACTCCTGCTTTTTATTTATTTATTTTTGCTCTCCATTTGGTTGGTACGTTTTTTTTCCAACCCTTTATTTTGAGTCTATGTATATCTTTGGATATACCGTTAGATTTTGTCTGTATCTTTTGATTGGGAGATTTGGTCGATTTAAATTTAGGGTTGCTGCCGTTTGATATTAACTGGCTATTTTGTCCTTTTGTTGATAAAAATTCTTCTTTATGTTAATGCTCTTTACTTTTTGGTGTATTTTTAGAAAGGGTCATACTGGTTGTTCCTTTCTGTGTATAATGCTTCTTTTAGAAGTTCTTGTAAAGCAGGCCTGGTGGTAATAAAATCTCTGAGTACTTGCTTGTTCCTAAAAAATTTTATTTTTCCTTCAAATGTAAAGCTTAAATTGGCAGGATATGAAATTCTGGGCTGAAAGTTCTGTTGATTAAGTATATTGAATATTGGCCCCCACTCTTCTAGCTTGTAGGGTTTCCATTGAGAGATCTGCTGTAAACCTAATAGGCTTACCTTTATGGGTAACTTGATCTTTCTCTCTGGCTGCCCTTAATATTTTCTCCTTCGTTTCGATCTTGGTGAATCTAACGATTATGTGCCTTGGGGTTGGTCTTCTTGAGGAATATCTTTGTGGTGTTCTCTGTATTGCCTGGGGTTGAATAGTGTCCTGCTTTGCTAAATTAGGAAAATTTTCCTGGATAATGTCCTGGAGAGTATTTTCCTGCTTGAATTCATTCTCTCCGTCACATTCAGGTACACCAATCAAGCGTATATTAGGTCTTTTCACATAGTCCCATATTGCTTGGAGACTTTGCTCATTCCTTTTTATCCTTTTTTCTCTATTCTTGTCTTGTTGTTTTGTTTCATTAAGTTGATCTTCGACCTCTGATACCCTTTCTTCTGCTTGATCCATTCGGCTGTTTAAGCTTGTACATATTTCACTAAGTTCTCGTGTTGTATTTTTCAACTCCATAAGTTCATTTGTATTCCTCTCTATATTGTCTATTCTTTTCAACATTTCATCTAACCTTTTTTCCAAGTTCTTAGTTTCTTTACATTGGGTTAGAACGAGTTCCTTTAACTCCCAGAAGTTTCTTATCATCCACCTTTTAAAGCCTACTTCAGATAATGGAACACAGTCCTTTTCCATCAGGGCTTGTTCCGTTACTGATGAGTCCTTTTCCATCAGGGCTTGTTCGGTTGCTGATGAGTCCTTTTCCATCAGGGCTTGTTCTGTTGCTGATGGGTTCTGATTTTGAGTATACTCGGCCTTCTTAGGCTGTTTTTTTCCCTTCATTGTAGATGAACCGCCTTTCTAATTAGTTTTCTGAGTCGACGTCTGACTTATTGATTCCCAGTGTTGGGATCCGAGCAACCCACTGTGGCAGCCTAAATAGCAGCGGTAAGACTGATGGTGCTCTTCTGCCCGGGAATCTCTGGTCTGGCTTCCCTCAAGTCCGCAACAAGCGGAGCTCCAAACTCCAGTCAGTAGGGGAAGCAGTCCCGTTGGCTCTGCATGAAGAGCTGCTGCGCCAAGACGCCGGCAAAACCGCTGCAGCTGCCACAAGAGTCGCGCTGGCAACCCGTGGGGCTCCTCCACTGCGAATCGGCTGATCAGTGAGTGACGAAAATTTGTCTAAAAGTGTGGTGTCGTCTCGTTCTCTGGGCTTTCACTGGGAGCTACAATCCTGAGCTGTTAGTGGTCGGCCATCTTGGATCGATCTCTATCGGCATCTGTTTTCTTAAAACAACTCTTTCTATATAGAAAAGAAATAATTAAAAGGGGAAAATTCTGGTTGTTATTTCATTCAATTATTAATAACTTTTGAAACAAAAACTGTAAAAGTGGAACTCAAATTATTGTTTAATAATCTGGATCTGTGGCTCAGATACAGATTGAGCAAAACAGCCATGGATGAAGTCCCAGCAGTGGATGATGTCCCTAGCAGTGGATGTTGCCCCGGCCATGAATGAAGTCCCAGAAGTGGGTGATGCCCCGGCCGTGAAGGAAGTTCCAGCAGTGGATGATGCCCCTGCCGTGGATGAAGTTCCAGCAGTGGATGATGCCCCCGCCGTGAAGTCCCAGCAGTGGATGATGCCCCCACAGTGCATGCCCCCAGCAGTGGATGATGCCCTCAGCAGATGATGCCCCCACAGTGGATGATGCCCCCACAGTGGATGATGCCCCCAGCAGTGGATGATGCCCCAGCTGTGGATGATGACTCAGCTGTGGATGCCCCAGCTGTGGATGATGACTCAGCTGTGGATGATGAACCAATTGTGGATGATGCCCCCAGCAGTAGATGATGCCCCAGCCATGGATGATGACTCAGCTGTGGATGATGCCCCAGCTGTGAATGATGACTCAGCTGTGGATGATGAACCAGTTGTGGATGATGCCCCAGCCATGGATGATGACTCAGTCCTGGATGATGACCCAGCCGTGGATGATGACTCAGTCCTGGATGATGACCCAGCCGTGGATGAAAGCCAACAGTTGTTTTCCAGAAAAGTCTAATACATAAGTCATTACTGAGATTTATCAAGAAAAAAGGGAAATCACAAAATGAATATCAGAAATTAACAGAAAGACAACCACAGAGAGAGCAGAGATTACAAAACAGTGAGCGGACATTATGAATACATAACTTGCTTTAAAGCAACGTTTTGTTTCACTTGGGCTGGTGGCTGTACGCCACAGTCAGCCAATAGTGAGAGTCCTCATCGGGGAGGCTTGGGTTGAGACTGAGGGTCTTTAACCCACATGCACAACAGAGTTGCCACGAGGGGGTGGAAACCAGGCTACCAACCACATGCTGCACAGAGTTCCTACCTGTCCCTCCCCTCACCATTTTCACCTGGCTGGGTTTGAGCATTTTAGGGCTTGGGAAGATATTACTACATCTACTAAAAGACATCATGGATCCTTATGTGCATTGGCCAGCTGCTGAGCAAATTAACTTCACAACTGAAGTGGGCCGCCCTGGCCCGTGTGGTCCCCCACGCCTCTTAGAATTTGTGAGCTTGGGGCCTACCGGAGGGTGGACGGTGGGAGGAGGAAAGGATCAGGAAAATAACTGATATGAGGCTGAATACGTGGATGATGAAATAACCTGTACAACAAACGCTCGTGACCCATGTTTATGCATGTACCGAACCTGCTCATCCTGCACAGGTTCCCCAAACAAAAAGAATCTGTGAGCCGACCCGAACACCTGGGATCTGTGAGCCGACCCGAACACCTGGGATCTGTGAGCCGACCCGAACACCTGGGATCTGTGAGCTGACCCGAACACCTGGGATCTGTGAGCCGACCCGAACACCTGGGATCTGTGAGCCGACCCAAACACCTGGGATCTGTGAGCTGACCCAAACACCTGGGATCCTTGTGCTTTTCACACTGATGACTATGCCGGTCTGTGGGGAGATGTGCCTGTAACTGCCCTGGGTCGTTTGACCATGGAGGCCACTTTATAACGATGGGCAGGCAGTGTCTGGGACCTCCTTAGGGCTTCTACACAAATGCTGGACTCCCTGCGTGGTGGCGAACACCCCGTGACTAACAGCATGCCAGTAGTTGCCAGTGTCGGCACAGGCCCACACCACTGGGTTTGTTTTCACTTTTTCATTCAGGAACTCGGGAGCTGGGGCCACCCCTTGGCCCTTCAGGTTCTCCACCTGAGCAGTGAGGATAATAAACCAGATCCGGGGATGGCTCTGGTGAGGGGGGAGGAGTCACTGTACAGAGTAGAGTGGGGCTGGATTTTATTTTATTTTTTTTTTAAGAAGGGGAAAAGAAAAAAGAGGGAAAAAGGAATATTACTTCATTCCTAAAATGGGTTTCAATAATGGCTGATCAATATTTTGAGTGTTTAAAGTGGTTAATGCATATTTTATGTGTTTAAAATGGAGACCTCTATTGTGTTTATTTGTTCTGGCTCTGAGTTCAAGTCCTGGATATCGTTATCAATTTGTTGTCTCGTTGAATCTAAATCTCATTATGTGTCTTATGTATCTGGGTGTTAAGATCTCTTATTGTTGCATTAATCCTTTTACCCTTGCATCCTTGTGGCTTTGAAATCTATTAAGTGTGAGAATTGCAACTCCTGCTTTTTATTTATTTTTGCTCTCCATTTGGTTGGTGAGTTTTTTTCCATCCCCTTATTTTGAGTCTTTGTATATCTTTAGATATATCATTAGATTTTGTGGATAATGTATATTTTGTGTGTTTAAAATGGAGAGCCCTATTGAGTTTATTTGTTCTGGATCTTAGTTCCAGTCCCGGATATCGTTATCAATTTTCTGTCTCGTTGAATCTAAATCTCATTATGGGTCTTATGTATCTGGGTGTTAAGATCTCTTATTATTACATTAATCCTTTTACCCTTGTATCCTTGTAGCTTTGAAATCTACTTTGTCAAATGTGAAAATTGCAACTCCTGCTTTTTATTTATTTTTGCTCTCCATTTGGTTGGTATGTTTTTTTTTCCAACCCTTTATTTTGAGTCTATGTATATCTTTGGATATACTGTTAGATTTTGTCTGTATCTTTTGACTGGGAGATTTGGTCGATTTAAATTCAGGGTTGCTGCCTTTTGATATTAACTGGCTATTTTGTCCTTTCGTTGATAAAAATTCTTATGTTAATGCTCTTTACTTTTTGGTGTATTTTTAGAAAGGGTCATACTGGTTGTTCCTTTCTGTGTATAGTGCTTCTTTTAGAAGTTCTTGTAAAGCAGGCCTGGTGGTAATAAAATCTCTGAGTACTTGCTTGTTCCTAAAAAATTTTATTTTTCCTTCAAATGTAAAGCTTAAATTGGCAGGATATGAAATTCTGGGCTGAAAGTTCTGTTGATTAAGTATATTGAATATTGGCCCCCACTCTTCTAGCTTGTGGGGTTTCCGTTGAGATCTGCTGTAAGCCTAATAGGCTTACCTTTATGGGTAACTTGATCTTTCTCTCTGGCTGCCCTTAATATTTTCTCCTTCGTTTCGATCTTGGTGAATCTAACGATTATGTGCCTTGGGGTTGGTCTTCTTGAGAAATATCTTTGTGGTGTTCTCTGTATTGCCTGGGGTTGAATAGTGTCCTGCTTTGCTAAATTAGGAAAATTTTCCTGGATAATGTCCTGGAGAGTAATTTCCTGCTTGAATTCATTCTCTCCGTCACATTCAGGTACACCAATCAAGCATATATTAGGTCTTTTCACATAGTCCCATATTGCTTGGAGACTTTGCTCATTCCTTTTTATCCTTTTTTCTCTATTCTTGTCTTGTTTTGTTTCATTAAGTTGATCTTCGACCTCTGATACCCTTTCTTCTGCTTGATCCATTCGGCTGTTTAAGCTTGTACATATTTCACTAAGTTCTCGTGTTGTATTTTTCAACTCCATAAGTTCATTTGTATTCCTCTCTATATTGTCTATTTTCAACATTTCATCTAACCTTTTTTCCAAGTTCTTAGTTTCTTTACATTGGGTTAGAACGAGTTCCTTTAACTCCCAGAAGTTTCTTATCATCCACCTTTTAAAGCCTGCTTCAGATAATGGAACACAGTCCTTTTCCATCAGGGCTTGTTCCGTTACTGATGAGTCCTTTTCCATCAGGGCTTGTTCGGTTGCTGATGAGTCCTTTTCCATCAGGGCTTGTTCTGTTGCTGATGGGTTCTGACCTTGAGTATACTCGGCCTTCTTAGGCTGTTTCTTTCCCTTCATTGTAGATGAACCGCCTTTCTAATTAGTTTTCTGAGTCGACGTCTGACTTATTGATTCCCAGTGTTGGGATCCGAGCAACCCACTGTGGCAGCCTAAATAGCAGCGGTAAGACTGATGGTGCTCTTCTGCCCGGGAATCTCTGGTCTGGCTTCCCTCTTGAGTCCGCAACAAGCGGCTCTGACTTCCCGGAGCTCCAAACTCTAGTCAGTAGGGGAAGCAGTCCCGTTGGCTCTGCATGAAGAGCTGCTGCGCCGAGACGCCGGCAAAACCACTGCAGCGGCCACAAGAGTCGCGCTGGCGACCCGTGGGGCTCCTCCACTGGGAATCAGCTGATCGGTGAGTGACGAAAATTTGTCTAAAAGTGTGGCGTTGTCTCGTTCTCTGGGCTTTCACTGGGAGCTACAATCCTGAGCTGTTAGTGGTCGGCCATCTTGGATCGATCGTCTGGATTTTATTTTTTAGAAGTGGACACTGGTGACTGGGCTGTGTAAATGGGAAATCTCTCCTGAGAAAACACTCGGCCTCGCCTGCACAGAAGCACACACATTCACACACATGATGCAGCCTCACACAAGACACCGCCAATCCTCAAGGACCCAACTCATGCCACCCAGAAGGGAGCACAGCTGCTGCCTCAAAATTTGGCCATGATTTTTCCCTGGAAAACTCAGGTTTTTAAAGAACACTTTCACTATGCTTATTCCTATCACAATCCCAGAATCAGGGTGGCACTGCACATAGAAACCAGCTTTGTTTTCTTGACAATAATTCCAGAATACATACCAGAGTCATACTTCAGATGCAACACTGGCACTACCTGCAACACAGAAACAAAGCAGTATGAGGGCACGGCGTGCTGTGGATTGTTTGCACGAGGTTCTGCTTCTCTCAATGAGTACTGAAAACCTGATCAGAAACATAGTCAACTGCTACAGTAATCAAAACGGCATGGTACTAATACCGAAACCGAGATGTAGACCAATGAACAGAACAGAGCTTCACTGGATGGGACAGAATGGGCGGCCACAGAGGCCTGGGATAGATTTCATGTCCCTGCAACACAACAGGGAGCACACTTCATGGCATGCTGATGCTTACTGAATGGTACAACTGAGGACAGGGTGACTCTGATTTTATCTGTTCTTATTCCAAGAGGCTCAACAACATGCTCTATGGAAGCGTGATCCTTCCAACGCACTCATCTATCCTTTCAGTAAGTTTTCACTCCCTCAGCCAAAGAGCTTCTCCATCTGGGTTTCTGCAACACCAATCTCAAACCCATAAAGCAATGGGTCACAGCAACCCCACTGGGCTCACACGCCCAGCTACGGAAGCAAACTTCACTTTACGGCAAGTCTACTTCTCCATGACAGGCAGTGCAGCACGTTAGTTCATAGATTAGCCTTCGGTGTTAGAGATCCAGCTGTGGGCGTGTCTCATGAATAATTTACTTACCCGAGACTCACATTCCTCATCTGTGTAATGAATAGAACCAAACTAATTATGCCTCAGAGTGACTGTGATGCTTCAAGGAGGCAACACAGAGATGTGACTGCGTAGTATCCATGACTCAGATGTGTGTCAGTTACCCTTTCCATTTTAATAACTTAGTCATGTGGCACAGTGACATTTTGATCAATGACTACTTACATGGCTGGGGTCAGACGGGCGTACACAAACCTACTGGCCAGCATCATTAGATTAAAACAAAATTTTTGCTTAAAAATTTTAAGTAAGATGCTATACAAATGAAAGACTAACCTCAGTGATGAAATTTTTAGGGAAAGAAAAAACAGAGTTCACAAGGATTTGGAGAAATGTCTCCTCACATGTGCTGCTACAGGAGCATGAATTAGCATCACCATTTTGAAAAGTATTTGGCACTATTCATGACAATAAAAGATATGTTCCCTTCTAACAATCTACTTCACAGAAATGAGTGCCAGTATTATTCCAAAACCATTGACAAAAATACTCAAAGCAACATTACTTATGTTATAACAGGCATAATTATTTAAAAACAAAAGAAGAAAATTCTATGTCAATCAACAGTAGAGTGGATAAACTGTAATACGTGACTACAGTGGAATGGTACGCAACAAGGAGATGGAAGAATGACAGTTACACTTACAAACTTGAATGAATTTCAAATCATAATGTGAGCGAAAAAGCCAGACACCGAGAAACACATATTGACTTATTCTATGTATGACAGTCCAAAGCTGGAGAGTCTAAACAAGTCATTAGCAGTCAGAGCAGGTCCCTTAAGGAAGATTAAAGGAGGAGGGAAATTTCAGGGAGGAACCAGGGATGTCTGCACTGGTGCCATCTCACCCTCTCAGACGTCAGGGTCCCAAGAGGGTGCTGGCAATATTTAGGTGGTTCAAAGGTCTCATGAAGAAAAGCAAATGGCAGCAGCGAACCCAGTTCTAATGAAGCGCCCCAGACTGGAGAGAGGGTGCCGCTGAGTTTTGCATCTTACTATGTAAAATCAGGATCCTCCAAAAATAAAATGTCATCCGTAGCGTGGACAGAATCATGTGCTGTCAGCACATTTTATCCTCTGGAGTTTCCTGCACAACTTTTAGCAATCTGTGAATAAAAGGTCCAGCACTTAACTTATAAATATCAACTTAGAGAACAATGGAAACCTAATTTTTGAAGACAGGAAATAGTGTGATGCCATATTCTGTGGGAAGAATGGAAACCTAATTTTTGAAGACAGGAAATAGTGTGATGCCATCTTCTGTGGGAAGGAACTCTTGGTTTCCCCAAAAATTAGAGAACTGGAGAGAAAGAAGCCTCATCTCAGAATCTGCGGTAGGGGTGGGAAGTGGAGGCTACAAATGCGCTCAAGGTCAGACTCCTTCTCTGCCTTCCCAGGAGACTGGAGATGCACCAGTGAGCCCAGAGTGAATATTCACTCTGCCATCCACCCCTGGGAGATCCCTTTAAACCCGCAGACAGGACAGAAACATAAACGTGCTATATATAACAAGTCTTAAAAGTTCAGAGGGTGATTATCAATTTCCCCCCAGCAGAGCTTTTTCTCTAAGTTCAAGTAAATGCCTGTGAGACAGATGTTCTGACAGATTCCTTCCTTTCCTTACAGATGACACTCAATGCCCAGCGCTACATCCCTTGTGCATAATCCCAAGGAGTGCTGAGTAATCCAAACCAAAGGTTTTGATGCTTCACTGGGCAGAAAAGAGCAGGTGTACTGCAGAGACCATCTCTAATGATCACAGCACCTTCACAGCCCAGAGACACAGTTCCTACCTTTATGACAACAAACTCTGAAAAGAGCAAACCAAACCTTGCACACATTTTCATTTTTTCCTGATTTCATACCCCCTTCTTCAGCCCCTCAAGCAGCGGGGATAACATGAAGGCTCTTAGGAGCCCTTTCCCATTGGGTCCTACCTGGCAAGTAGTTCCCTACCTTGGGGGTCGTCTTTACTGAGTGTGAAGACCGTCTCCAGAGGCCGGTCTTTAGAAACAAAAACATCAGGACAAGTCATTAGAGTGACTCACCCACTCCTCTTCCTCCAGCTGAAGCCACGTCGGCTCACACAACATCCCCTGGCTGGTCCTCGGGGTTCACATGCATTCATACAGCCCCTCTGATCAGAGGTATACACTTACAAAATTATTTGCTCTCATTAGACGCCCCCATGTTCTTTAACCAGAACCCAGGGTCAGGTTTCTATATATTAAAATCAGCAGATGAGCTACTTCCAGGTACATGCCGCAATCAGAAACTGACGAGATCTGCAATTAGACGAAAGAAGACGCTATGAGGATCAGATTAATTCCTCTCACCCCCCCCCCCCACACAGATCTGTTAGTCTCTTGAAGACCTCAGGAAACTAGTTGTAAGACAATGGTTGAGGCAAAGGCCAACAATCAAACATGCTAGAATACAGGACAGCTGTGGAAAAGACAAGCCCTTTTCCCACAGAATTTATCTATGAAGTTGATTGACACTGGCAAATACACAATGCCTAAACCAAAGAGGAGAACTGGTGAGGAAAATTCCTCTGCGTTACAGTTGATGATGGATGCTGTCATTTAGAAACATTCTAATGTATCACCTATCCGATGGGAAGACACTCCCCCTGAACTCCACCCCCACCAAGAGGATTAGACATGTTCTACATAATGTGCCTTCTCAGATTATCACAATTAACAAAAGGCAAGAAATCAGGAAAGAAATCATTCTTTTTACATTTTGTTTTCTTTTGAAGTTTAAGTTCCAGGATGCATGTGCAGGACTGTGCAGGTTTATTACACAGGTAAACACGTGCTATGCTGCTTTGCTGCATGTATCAACCCATCACCTAGGTTTAAGCCCCGCATCCATTAGCTATTTATCCAGATGCTCTCCCTCCCCAATCCCCACCTGACAGGGCATTCTTTAGAGGACAAAAAGGGTTCTTACCTCGTAATCATCCACAGAAGTAAATGTCTCACTGTCCTCAGAAGGAGCTGGAAGGAGACAGGGTAAAACTCAGTACCCTGGTGGCTGGAGACTGTGAGTAACTCAGGGAGCTTTGCTGCGTGTGGCATATGGAGTGTGGGACTGAAGATTCTGAGACCATCTCACAGAAACAACTATGTTCAAATAGCGCCATGAGGGAGTCGCACCAGATATCCTTCATCTTAGACAATGCCAAGACCTAATAATACTCTCGCATTCCCAATTCCCTTAAGATATTGACCAATCAAAAAGCAAGGCTTAGATGTTTGCTGTGACATAGGCTGGAAAAACTGGTCTCCTGAAACAAGTAATCATTAAATACCAGAGCAAGGAATGACAAACGCTGCCCACAGAACACATGGACACACATCCTCTCATCTCTATCTTATTAAAATACAACAGGAACAGGTCAGACCTCTACAGTTATTTTTTTATTTTTGTTCTGGCTTCACAGCCCCCCCTAGGTTCCAAAGCAACAGGTGTAACCCAACTGCTCCCAGAAATACTCTTAGGGTATCATTTTCATTTTTTTTGTTTGTTTGAGACAGAGTCTTGCTCTGTCACCAGGCACCAGGCTGGAGTGCAGTGGCGGGATCTTGGCTCCCTGCAGCATCCACCTCCTGGTTTCAAGCAATTCTGCCACAGCCTCCCGAGTAGCCGGGACTACAGGTGCACGCTAATTTTTAGTAGAGACAGAGTTTTGCTATGTTGGCCAGGATTGTCTTGATCCCTTGACCTCGTGATCCGCCCACCTCAGCCTCCCAAAGTGTTCGCACTACAGGCGTGAGCTGCCACGCCCGGTCTAGGGTATCGTTTTCCACCTGCAGAAACTGTCCTATTGCAGCTTCCCTCATGGTGTCCACTGGCCAATCTTTAGAGACACAAATCTCAGCAAGAAGTTATTTCAGAGAGTAACTCACCCACCCTCCTACTCCAGGTGAGGTCACACTGTATGAAAAGAGGTCACCCTGAGCTTTCCTAGTGTTCTCAGATGCCCTCCAGGCCCTGTGGAGCCAGAGGTCTTCAACAAGGCATTGCTCACACTTTCCAGCCTTCAAGTGAAAAAGAGGAGCTGGAGGAATCACCTTCCATTTGTCCTTCCACTGGCCCACGACAGGTCTCACCTCCAATCCCACAACCCTGAGATCCCAACTTTGATGTGCACGCTTTCAATGAGATGAGTCCGACAGTCAGACCCTGGGCCAGGCTCACAGCAGACATGCAAGATGGCATTCTGTGGGGATGGAAATGCTCTCTGCTGTATGGCTGCTGGGCCACTGCATGGTGGCTGTTGTGATGAGGTTTTAAATATTTCATTGTATATCTTTAAGTTTATTTAAGTAAAGAGAGACATGTATATGACTGAGAAGCACGCTACATGGGACAGCTCCAGAGATCCAGACATGAGGAAGACCTGACTCCCCTCTCCTGGTGTTTTTTGCAGAACTGTTTGCTGCTCTGATCCTACCACACATTTACGGTTACTTCCTGGGCATCTGCACAAGGGCCAGTCACTGTGTGGGGCTGGGGATAGAACAGTGAGGACAATATCCAGGTCCAGATGGATTCCAGCAGAATTCCAGAGCTTGCACCCAGCAGAAGAGCGTGGCCCTGCACACCCTGTCTAGAATAGATCAGAGCAGCAGGAGCAGAAAGGTGGGGGTGTCTCACTGTCCGCAGGAGCTCGCCCTCATCTCCAGGGACCCTGACTCAGAAGCTGGGCAGGCTCCAGGATGAGTGTGGGGCTCAACAGGCTGGACAGGCTGAGAACACCTTTCCACACCTGCACTAGATCCCAGACCAGGGGTGACTGAGAGCTCATCCCAGGGGTGTGTTCATTAAAACATCCATGGAGCCTAATGTATCCTTCCCAGGACTGAGCTCTGGGGTAAGGACAAATGAGGAAGACACAATCACTGCCCTGCTAGTAAACACCCAGAGTCAGGGTTCCCCTATTGACCTGTGGGAAGACTCAGACTTTGAGATAAAAGATTTTAAACCATCTCCAATATAAGTGGAAACTGAGATGTTATGGATCCACAGAAGAGTTGAAAGAATGACCTGGACTCTGGGATCAGTCCCCATCCCTTTGCTGAGACCACCCTGCACTGGAACTCATGTCCCTCCCCACCTGCCCTGCTACTTGGGAGTGCTGCAGCTGCCCAGGCCAAGAGCTGGGGGACTCTGTCCAGTTGAAAAGCATTTCTGGGTCAGAAGACCCTTGGCCAACAGGGTCTACTGAAAAAACATTCCTCAGGAGACTTCCCAAATAGGTGAAAAATATAAACGTACCTGTATGAGCCCCAAGATCAGGCCTGGGACTCATGGGAACCTGATTCCTGTTCTGCCCTTCTCAGCAATTTCTGATGTCATTGCAGAGACACAGAGATGGAGAAGACATGGGTCGGGAAGGAAGCCCCTTTCTCAACGCATTTAGGGTTATGTTCACACCAAGCTTTCGACAGAGGAAGGCCAAGTCCTACTCATTCCTCCCCAGAAAGGGTCTCATACCCTGCCTGGTCCCTGGTGATGATGCTGAACTGATGCCCCTAACATTGCAACCTTGACATTCTCTTTTAACAATGTCCCAAATGTCCTCATTTTTTCCCCCTCTGATCCTCTAGATCATGTTCCCCTTCAGGTCTAGCACGAGGCTCTCTATTGCTCTCTCCCATGGAGCCCACTGAGCAGCTGTCCATGAGTACTGAGAACCTCAGTGTTGGTAACACCGACATTTTCCTTGACTCACACACACAGCAGCGCCCCTGCAGCACCACTGGGAAGCTTCAAGATTAAAGATGTCTAGGACAATCTGGTCCTGACAAAATCACTTCTGGGGTGAACAAGTGACATTGCCTAATCAAACAGTTTCATTCTTTTGTTCCATTGCAAAAATACTGACACATACAGGACAATCAAGTCTTACTGAAAAGCAATGCATTTCCACAGACGCATGCTCCAAAAAAAACCCTCAAACCATCATGTGGTCCACTTGATCTTCATCATGACCTAAAGCAGCTACCTTGACTCTGCGTGTGAAGGTTTTCAGAAAAAAACAAAAACCTAATTAACAGTAGCATCAATAGGGCATGATGGAGATTCTCCTGTCCCAGAGCCGAGTTCTTCACAAAGCCATCTGTTTCTCACACCACGCCCCAGATCCTCACACCTATCAGGAAGCTGAAGCAGGGGTTCTCCAGAGAAAAGCAAGCAACAAAATCCCCCGACTCATCGCTTAGATCTGTCATTAGGAAGAAGTGGTATCAGAATATGTACAATGTTAGAGAGAGGAACAACACACACGGGGGCCCGCTGGGGGCCAAGCGGGAGGGAGAGCATCAGAATACACAGCTAATGTATGAGGGGCTTAATACCTAGGTGAAGGGTAGACAGGTGCAGCAAAGCATGCCACACTTTGACCTGTGTAACAAACCCGCACATACTGCACATCCTGGACACTGAAATCAAATTTAAATTAAAAAAGAAACTGCCAGAGTAGGCAAATCTAGAGAAACAGAAAGTAGATTAGCGGCTGCCTAGAACCAGGGGTGTGGAGCTTGGACAAAATAGGAAGTGGCTACAAATGGCTATGGGGTTTCTCTGAGGGGTGATGAAAAGATTCTAAAACTAGATTGTGCCGACGGCTGCACAAACCTGTAAATACAGTAAAAACACACCACCCACGTTAAATAAGTGAACGGTTCTGCATGTCAACTATGTGTCAATAAAGCGGTTTTAAAGAAAAGAACACTTACAGGGCTGACTTGGGGCTGTCGCGGTGGTCTGAGACGAGAAAAAAACAAAACGCCATGAGCATCAGACCACACTGAGTGCAGCTGGGGAAGGTCTTTTCACTTGGTGACATTAGAAAGCAAGATAGCAGGCTAGGCGCAGTGGGTAACACCTGTAATCCCAGCATGTTGAAACACTGAGGCGGGCAGACCATGAGGTCAAGATACTAAGAACATCCAGGCGAACATGATGAAACCCCATCTATATTAAAAACTACAATAAAGCTGAGCGTGGTGGTGGCGTGAGCCTGTAGTCCCAGCTACTCGGGAGGCTGAGGGAGTAGAATTGCTTGAACCCCATAAGTGGAGCTTGCAGTGATCCAAGATCACACCACTGCATTATAGCCTGGTGACAGAAAGAGACTCTGTATTATAAAAAACAACAGCAACAACAACAAAACCATATGTAAAACATTGATACAGTCACTGGCCCCAAATGAAAAACAGGGGATGTTTACAGAAAATGCAGGGGGTTTAGAATATTTAGCAAGTGTATATGCTAGCTGGGAAATACAACATTATTTTTCAAAAAGAAAAAGTTGCTACTAAGAAATATGCTCGCTGCTAGTTGGTCAGTGATGTTATCTTTTGAATGACAACATCAATCAGGCCTCAGTTAGTCATAAACTCCAGTGACTGGTAGCAAGAGTCCATGACAGCTGAGGCCTGATTCACGATGGCAGTCAAAGATGATACTCACTTGATATTCTAGAAGCATGCATCTTAATATGTGAGGTGACGTCTCCTCCTGAAGCCTCTAAGTAGCACACTCTTCTGGGTCTTGACCAGGAGGTAGGAGAACACCGAGAGACAGTCAGTGCACTGGTGCTGCTGAGGAATCCCACAAGGAGGCTTGGGGGATGTGGACCGAAGCTGCAGTGTATGGAGCTGCACTGCTGACAAGCATGGACTGAGATGCTCCTGGACCACTCTCCTTGGTGTTGAAGGAATGCAAAGGAGAGGGGCAGAAGAAATGAGAGAGTCTTGGCTTTCTAGCTAGGGCACTCATCACTGTGAAACAGTCTGAGAACCAGTTAATACAGAAAGGTATGTATGGCTCAGCGAAATCATCTCATCACACCTGCTGCCCACCTGAAGATCTAGGCAAATCCCATATTTTATGAAACATTACAGGATTATTTAACTTTTGTGGATCTACATATCCTGGTACTACATCTGTCATGTATCCTGTTGTGTTTCTAAAATTGTAGTAAAGCATACATATTTATTATTTTAGTTAATTGTGCATTTTAATGATATTATATTCTGTGAATAACATTCATGATGCTGTGTCAATAATGAGAAAAATCTAAATTCATAATCTAGCTTCCACCTTGGGCAATGAAAGGAAAACAGCAGTGTAATGTCAAATAGAGAAAAAATACAATGATTGCAGAAATTAATGGAATAAAAAACAGTAAATCAGAGAAAATTTACAAAACAAAAAACCAGTTCTTTGAAAAGATCAATAAAATTGATAAACCTCTACCTTGTCCAACCACAAAGAAAAAGAAGGAAGTCACGATGTACCAATAATATCAGTTGAAGACGAGTGGAATCAAAAATAATAATAAAGGAATATTGTGAACACATCTGTGCTCACACTTGGATACATTATATGAAATGAGCTAATTTTTTGGATCTGTTTCAGGTTAAAAGTCTTCTCAGGATAAATGAATCATCTGAATAGGCCTATATTTATTTTAGAAATTGAATCAATAATTAGTATCTTCTCAAAAAAACCCAAAACACTACCTTCAGATGAATTCACTGGTAAATTCTACCAAAATTCTCACAAAGAAACGTAGTGTTACCATACAAGTAAGTAACCATAATTTTAGCATTGCCTTAGTTACATTGTAAAAATTATGTTTCCAAACAAGACACAAGAAGGTTTATATCTGCTGTATTCATAATTGCCCAAACTGAGAGCAAATGTCTAAATATTTGAGATGTCCTTTACTATCAAAAGTGAACCAAGTCTGGGCAACATGGTGAAATCCTGTCTCTACAAAAAAAGTAAAATTTTAAAAAATAGCTTGGTATAAAGCATGTGCATTACAGCCAACTGCTTGGGAGGCTGAGGTAGAAGGATCAGCTGAACATGGGGAGGTCAAGATTGCAATGAGCTGTGATTGCACCAGTGCACTCCTGGGTGACAAAATGAGACTTTCTCACAAAAATAAAGAAACAAAAAGAACCAAACTCTAAGTTGTCAACGTAACTTTCCTTGTGTAGTTGCGTCACCCGTTGATTAAATGCATTTCAATGGGCACAAATGAAATAAATGAAGAACCTGACACAGCATTTACTGAGTTTCTCTCATATGGGACACTGGATGAGTAAACTGAAATTATTTGCTTCAATCATCTTCATGATATAATTTCCACACTACCTTCATTTTCACTGTGGCAAATTTTCTTGCGCCTCCTCTTTGCTGCCCAGCTCCTGGCGCGGCCAGCCAAACCTGCAAGGCAGAAATGCATCATAATAAAGACAGTGCTTGACACCTTGCTGGCAGAGGACCACAGAGAAATTAGTAAAAACGTTCTCAGTTTAAACTTTTGATCCTAGTTTTCACCGACTGCTTTTCAATGCTACCTGAATTCGATCTGGGTTCTAGGAAGATTTGTTTGTGCAGGCAGATACCTTTATTCAGATGAGACAATATAGAAAAGCAGAAGTTCCAAGTTACCAAAAAAATAGGCTGGGTTCAAATCCCACTTAGAATCTGCACATACCTGGGAGAGGGATATGAACCCATCTGTGCCTCTCGTCCCTATTCTCAGATGTGGAAACGTTAGTAGATCTAGGCTATAGACCTACTAAGCTCTATAGTGTCTAAAAGGATGAAATGCAGATAAAGACTTAAAAAGACTCATGTTTTTGTAAATGCCCTAAAATGTTCAATCAATGTCGGGAAGAATAATCCAGACACTTGGTAGTAGTTGACTACAGAGAGGGAGCTTGCATGTCTGCGCAGGATTAGGATGGAAAGTGACTTCACAGTTTCCATGGCCACATGATTTCCAGCTCATGACAGAGATCTGTGATTTCCCTGATCCCCAAAGGACAGGCAGGGAAGGGGCTACAACCCCTATTTTCAAATTCAGTGAATTCAAATTCAGACATTTTGAGTGACTTGCCCAGTCACCACAGTGAGGAATGATAGGTCTGAGGTAATCATGTGGTTGGTTCCCCGGGGAGAGAGATCCCGGAACACCCGAGTCCTCTAGATCATGCCCGGGACCCTGGACCGAGAGCTCTTCTCACAAGCTCTGTGAAATCCTGCTGCCCCAGTGTTTCTGTGGGATGGTTGAGGCTATGGAGATGTGGCAGGTGGCTTACTGCATTTACTGACCTACTCTATTATCCCTATGTTGTCACTTTTAGTAGTTTTATGACCCATAAGGCAAATATTTTAAGTCTCTCCGTTATGATGCACGGTCTGAGATTTTACCTGAATCCACTCTTTCCACCCATCAGGTGATTCTCATCTGCTGGGCTGGAGCTGGCCTGCCGTAAAAGAGGACACACGGCATACCACGGAGCGGCTGTGTGCCCCACTCCTGCGCACACTCTTGCCTTGCTTCTGCTTTCCCAGCTCTGACAATCCTAATTCTGGCTTCCAAACCAATCCTGTACGTCCCTCTCAGTTCTCAGACTTGCCTCAACTGTTGGATATTTTAATCACTGTTGTGACCATGACTGAACGGTGACATTTCATATGCCATAGTATATGTTTATCTTTTTACATATTTCTTAATAGCATTTAACTTATTGTTTCAGACTTTTAGGAACATTTCTTGGCTAGGTGTGCTGGCCCATGGCTGTAATCCTGACAGTTTTGGAGGTTAAGGCAGAAGGACTGCTTGAGGTCAGACGTTTGAGACCAACCTGGGCAACACAGTGAGACCTCATCTCTACAAAAAATCTACAAATTACCAGATGTGGCGGTGAGCCCTTGTATCCCTAGCTACGTGGAAGGCTGTGGTGGGAAGATTGTTTGAGCCTAGAAGATTGAGGCTGCAGTGAGCCATGATCACGCCACTGCCTGGGTGACAAAGCAAGACCCTGTCTTTTCACAATAAAAAGCATTACTGTGTCACAAGTATCCCCATTTTATTTCTCATTATCTAATATTGCTGTTTTCATCCTGAGGCTTAATTGCTTTAGTAAGCTAAGAAAAAAAAGTTGTGTTTTTTTTTTTTTTTTTTATAAAGGGTACTATTTAAAGCAGGTCATATGCATGCCTTTTGTAAATTCTAGTTTTATATGCCATAAATCTAAAATTTACACTCTTGATGTACTGAGTCTTCTTAGAACCAGCCTCCTCATATGTAACACAGTATAATTCCCATTTTACACCTGACTCGAAACATTGAGAGGATAGAATAAAATGAAAGAGCAGTCTGTATACCACGTAATGCACAATGAATCACAAAGTGAAGTTTTCTCTAACTCAAAGGCGAAAAGTGCACAGTTAGCGTCCTCTGCAGATCCCATAGCAAAATGAAATCTTGAGAAAATATGCACTTTGGCTGCCCAGTGAAGTTAGAAGGAAACTGTCACAGGTCATCATCAAGACTTCCCCAACATTGGCTTTTATTTTTAAATAATGAAATACACATGATTTTGCCTGCTTTCTTTCGTGTATATTACTGCATGTTCTCTTTGCTTTTCTGCGTACCCTATCTTGGGAATCACTCCATAGCAATAAAAAGACATCTTACTCTTTTTTACAGCTCCATACTTCTCCTTTATGTAGAAGTACCAGCTTATTTTTTTTTTTTCTTAGAAAGAAACATTTAATAAGGACTGAAAAACAGAAGCCATGTCTGTGTCTTGAGTGGTGGCAAGACAAGATGGTGGATCCCTGTGCCATTACCCCTCACAGCCCTCAGACTGAGGGCATGTATACCATAGGGAAGGGATGGTTCAGAAGGTGTGGGACAATTGAAGTATGATAACATTAAGGTCTTTTTACCTACAGGCAGGGTTTAGAGTAAGTACCTGCTCTACACAGTGGCTCACAATGCCCCGCCCCACAGCCCCACCCAGTGGCTCACAATGCCCATCCCTGCTGCTGCCCACCTGTAATCACCATGACCCTCTGTGTGACTGCATTATTCATCCTGGGCTTCCTGAGCTTTCCAGTCCTGAGAAAAGTACGTGTGTGGAGGGGAGGGTGGTTGTTATTGGAAGTCGCCCTGGGTGCTGAACTCAGTAGTAAACCCTGGTTACTAATGTCAGTTCCATTAGCATCTCTGGTTTTCTCAGTCTGGTACCTTTCATTTGCTCAATGAATGTAGTGATACACAAATGTTTGACTGATTTTGTAACTAAATGCTCCTCTCCTGTCTTACAAGTGTTAGTTTTTGCCTTCAATTTGACCATAAGCAAAAACATGAAATGTTTCCTCTCTCCTCCCCTTTTCCATCCTGTAGGAAGGGGAGCCATGAAAAGAAACTCTTTTCCACAGGCAGGGTCTGGCCTTCTAACTCCAAGTCTTTACCTTCCAAATTCAAGTCTAAAGTCATTTCATCTCTTTTGGAACCTGTAACCATGAGCTAGCTCTACCTGTCTTTCAGAACAAGGAGGTAAACTAAGCCCGTGAAGTTACTGGAGTAGGGCTGAAGAGACGTTCATGTCAAAGTGGGAATGTTGAAGTAATCAGAGCTCCACGGCTACACTTTTGGGTAAAACCACAACAAAAACAGCTTTTTTACAGCTCGGGCAGTAACATTTCACACCTTTTGCAGTCATTTTAAGCATGTCCCTCAATTTTTCCTTCGGTTTTCAAATTACAATTGGAAGACATAAAGCTGCTTCTGTCAAGGTGACTTCAAACCATCTATTAAGAACACCATATAATCTCTTCCATGGCAAACTCTATTTCGAATTTAAGAAGTCTCCAAATATTTGAGTCTGAATTATCCCAATTATTAGCTTTCTTATCGAATAGGAGAAAAGAAATCATTGGGCCTTTAACCGGCTCCTTCACTGAGGTGCCATAGTAGCTGGACAGCCAAGGCTAGAGAATGGGATGGAGAGTCCAAAACTGGAGTATCTGAATTTTCATCGGGGAAAGGGAGAGACTAGACCAAAAAGGCCTCAAGCAAGAAGGCTCAACAACGAAGACAAGAGGCAGGACGAGCCTTTGTCCCCCATGCCCAGCCCCGGGAAAGCTGGCTATAGGCAGGAGGGAGCTGGAAGCTGAGGATGTCTCTGGGGTGACGGGATGGGAAGGAGGTGGGGAGGGGGTGGCCAGAGATGTGCCAGAGAGCAAATGGCTTCTTTACCTTTGCACCTCTTTGATTTTATGGGCAGCATGTGCTGGACCTCCATCACTCCGGGATGTAAGGCGGCAGGCTCTGCAGTGGTGGATGCCACAGACTGGCCACAAGGCTCGCAGCAGGCACAACTGACGCCAGCGCCGGGGCTAAGCAATTCCCCATGGGTGATCTACAAGGGGACTGTAACAACAAATCAACAAAATATAAAACAAAAAAACAAAACAAAACAAATAACACCAAAAAAAAAAAAAAAAAAGCAACAGACAAAATAACATAGAATAAAATAAATCAAAGGGAAAAACAAAGCAACAGAGCAAGCGCCAAGCACACAAACACTTCCGTGAGAGTAGTCGGAGCTTCTCCTCCTCCCACTACCAGCTTCCGACTGAAGGCTGCTGGTCCTGGCTGATGCCTGTCCCCCCACAAAGCCTCCTATGTCACCTGATTGCCAGGAAACAACAAAGTCAGGCCAGTGACTCACAATGCCATTTCCCACAACCCCATCCAATGGCTCACAATGCCCATTCCTGCTGCTGGCCACCTGTGGCCACCCTGCCCCTCTTGGTGACTGCATTATTCATCCTGAGCTGCCTGAGATAATCCATTTTTCACTATAGGCCTCAAAAAATTCAGCAATGTCCCTTCATAGATTCTATATGGAGAGTGTGTCTAACCTGTGAATAAAAACAAAGGTTTCATTCTGCGTGAGAAATCCACAAACACAAAGCATTTTCACAGAATCCTCTGGGGCCCACCTCTCACCTTCAGCGTCCCCTTCTTAGTTACCTGGGCTTCTGTCTTGTATGATCTGTCAGGTTCTAGGCCTTGTAAGGGTGAGTTCCATGTCTCCACTCACATGTGCCCAGGACGGTTGGCTCTTGGGAGGCTCTTCATGGTGATTGAGGCCATGGATCCTTCGCACTGTTCCTTGAATCCACTTGCCAAGAAATACTCATCCTGAAATGATGCTTTGAAAGCGATGCTTCCAGTCAATTGTGGGTCCACTGTATTATGGATCCCGAGTACCCAATACACGGCATATAAGAAATGAATGAAAAATGAGTACATGGACTCAAGTGTGCCTACAAGGTGAGAGAAAAGGGTCCTACTTACTAGGTGTGCTACGAAGGCATCTGGGACCATTGGCTTTGCTATTTCATAGCAGGCCTGGGGCTTTGAAGACTGGTATTTCCTCACTCTAAACCTCAGAGTCCAATGAATTACCACCAAGTGGACAAAGGTCCATGGGCCAGAGCTCTTGGTGTGAACAACATACCTTTTTTGGGTGTGATTCATGGACGGGGACTATACAAAACTAAAAACCATGTTTATGTGCTGACTACCTGCAAGCCGCGGTGAGAAAACACTCTGTATACATGATCTTATTCAATGCTTGTTACAAATACCTGAAGTGGATTTTTAGACAAACTTTCTATTCTACAGCTTTTTGGAACAAGAGGCTAGTGTAGTGAGCTTCCACCTACTCAGCAGCAGATTCAGGTATTTGTTATCTGACGGCCGATTGTGTTACATGTATACTCCTACATGCTTCTCCTCTTCCTCTCGTGATTTTATAGCAAACCCCACACATCATAGAATTTCCTCCTTGACTGTCTTGGTAGATATCCGTAAAAGATACGATTCTTGTTTGTTCTTTCAACACGAGGTCTCTGTCACTCAGGCTGGAGTTCAGTGGCATGCTCTTGGTTCACTGTGGCCTCTCCTGCCTCAGCTTCCTGAGTAGCTGCAACTACAGACTCACACCACCATGCCCAGCTAATCTTTTTACTTGTATTTTAGTAGAGACAAGGTCTTGCTATGTTGCCCGGGCTGGTCTACAATTCCTGGATTCAAAGGATCTTCCCGCCTTGACCTCCCACACTACTGAGATTATAGGTGTGAACCGCCATGCCCGGAGACAAGAACTCTAAAAAATATAATCCCAATACCATCATCAACCAACCATCTCACACCATTGCTCTTTATCACTGTCAACTCTCCTTCTAGCTCCAAATTTCCAGTCGTTTCATGTATTTATTGTTTGAATCAGGATCCAAATAAAGTCTCTCTTTGGGATTGTTTGATTCACCTCTTAGGATTTTTTTTTTTATCCTGACAGCTTCCCACTTTGATCTCCGTGCTATCCCTTGCAGTCCATTTATTGAATAAATATGGCCATTTCCCTATAGTTTGAATTAAGCTAAGTGTATTCTCATTATGCTGGTTCTCATACTGTGAATTTCGCTAATTGTATCTTCTGATGTTGGTTAACTTGCTCTTCACTTTGTTCTAGTTTTGATAAATTAGTAGTTTGATCTCAAGACTTGGTGAGATTCAGGTTGGACTTGAGGGTCAGGGCAAAAAGGCTGTGCTAGTTTCCTCTGCGAGGAGGTGTGCACTCTCTGGACATTTTTTTTTTTTTTTTAATCGGTGACGTTAATGACCATTGATCAATTATGGATTAAACAATGAAGGCATTGTTGTAACATTCCTTATTTATGAGCTGCCACACTTCCAGAAAGAGATACTGCTACCCTAAGAAGGGCCTTGCATGAAGAAAAAAATGAATATAAAAGAGATGCTGCTTCTTATGAACTGTTACTGACTTGTACAACTTATATAGAAAACACCAGTTCATGGCTTGATTTCTTCTGTTGACCATTTTCAAAATGATGGGCTGTTTCATTTATATCCTTCAATGGTGACCACTTCTATTAATGAATTTATTTAGACAGGGAGGGTCTAGCTTTGTTGCCCAGGTTGGTATGCAGACAAGCAGTCATGCCACTATAGCCTCAAACTTCTAGGCTCAGGTGACCCTCCCATCTCAGCCTCCTGAGTAGCTGAGACCAAAGACACAGGCCCTCAAACCTGAGTAATTTAAAAAATCTTTTGTTGAGACAAAGTCCCCCTATGTTGCACAGGCTGGTCTTGAACTCCTGGATGAAATGATCCTTGTAACTCAGCCTCCCAGAGTGTTGAAATTACAGGCATGAGGAGCTGTGCCAGCCCACTTTTATTTTTTCAAAAGGATCATTATGAATGCAGATATTCAAACATATCTGATATATCTCAATTTACTGCAACTATTATCCTTACTAATGTACAAAATGTCCTATCTTTGGTTAGAAGGAGGCCCTTCAGATTGGCCCTTTGGACCTGTTGAAATCATCCTAATAACCTTTGATGGATTCTTTGCTATCCAGAGTGATAATATGTTCCAGGCTCCTTACACATTTCTGGCCTAGACCTGGAATCAGCATTTTGTCCAGGAAGCCTTGTTTCCTTTCATTGGGCAATGGTATTTTGAGACTACAATCTTGGTGCTAGGGGTAAATAGTATAATTTTAGAACTTAAAAAACTGCCTGGCTCATGTCTGTAATCCTAGCACTTTGGGAGGCCGAGATGGGTGGATCACCTGAGGTCACGACTTTCAGACCAGCCTGGACAACATGGTGAAACCCCATCTGTACTAAAAATACAAAAAATTAGCCAGGCATCATAGCAGGAGCCTGGAATCCCAGCTACTTGGGAGGCTGAGGCAGGAGAATCACTTGAACCTGAGAGGTGGAGGTTGTGGTGAGCTGAGATTGCGTCATTGCACTCCAGCCTCGGTAAAAACAGCAAAACTGTCTCAAAAAACAAAAAAAAAAACCTTAAAAATAATTTTAAAATTAACAGCTTTATAGAGGTGTAATTTACAAACTAAAATCTACCAATTTTAAGTGTACAATGATTGTGTGTGTGTGTGTGTGTGTGTGTGAGAGAGAGAGAGAGAGAGAGAGAGACAGGGTTATCACTCTGATACCAAGGCTGGAATGCAGTGGTGCCATCATGGCTCACGGCAGCCTCAACCTCTTGGGATCAGGTGATCCTCCTGCCTCAGCTCCCTGAGTACCTGAGACTACAGGCTTGTACCACTACACCTGTTTAAGTGTTTATATTATTTGTAGAGATAGAGTCTCTTTATGTTTCCCAGGCTGTTCTTGAACTCCTGGGCCGAAGTGATCTTCTTGCCGTGGCCTCCCAAAGTGTTGGGATTACAGGTGTGAGCCACTGCAGTTAGTCCAATTCAATGATTTTAGTATATTTACAGAATTATGTAACAATCACCAAAATCTAGCTTAAGGACATTTCATCATCCCAGAAAGAAACTCGTGCTTATCAGAGTCACTTTTCTGTCTCATTCCCAGCCCTAGTCAACCAGTAAGCTGCTTTCTATCTCCATATTAGGCTGTTCTGAACCTTTCATATAAACGAAATCATGTGACGTGTGTTCTTTTGCATCTGGCTTCTTTCCCGAAGCCTTGCGTTGCTGAGGTTGATCACTGTGGTAGCATGCCTCAGAACTCATTTTTGATTGCTGAATAGTATTCCTTTGTATTCCCCACATTTGAATTCCTTCATCAGTTGATGGGCATTTGGCTTGTCTCCACTTTTTGGTTCTTGTGAGTGGCGTTGTTGTGAACATTCACCCACAAGTCTTTGTGTGAACATACATTTTCATTGTTCCTGGTTAGATACCTAGAAGTAAAGTTGCTGACTTTAAGGAAATTTGACTTTATTTTATTTTATTATTATTTTTGTCCTGAGCCCCTTGCAGTTCTGCTAGAGAAGGCGATTTTATTTTTAACATTTTGAGAAACTGTCATACTATCTTCCAAAAAAGTGGCTGTACCATTTTACATTCCCACTGGCAGTATGTGAGGGCTCTGGTCTCCACGTCCTCTCCAGCACTTGGTGTCATGCGTCTGCTTGGTTGTAGTTATTCTAGTGGGTGGAAAGAGACATCGCGTTTTGGATTAATTTGCATTTTCCTAGTGACTGACGATGTTGAACGCTTTATAATGTGCTTATTGGACATTAAAATATTATCTTTGGAGAAATGTTTCTTCATGTTCTTTTCCCATTTTTAAGTTAAATTGTCTTTTAATATTGAGTTGTAAGAGTTCTTCTGGATATATCGGTTATTAGACATAAGATTTATAAATCTTTTCTCCCATTCTGCGGCTGTCTTCCCCTTTCTTGATTGTATCTTTTGCTGTGCCAAAGGTTTAAATTCAGCTGATGCTCAATTTTTTATTTTCTTGCTTTTTCGCTTTCTTCCTTTTCCAGGTCTCACTAGGTGGCCCTGACTGATCTTCAACTGTGCTTTTGATGTTGTTTCTAAGACATCAGTGCCTTACACAAGATCACAAGAATTTACTCTTACGTTTTCTAAGAGTTTCATTGTTTTCAGTTTTACATTTAGGTCTGTGATCCATTTTCAGGTAATTTTTGTGTATGGCATTAGGCAGGGACCCAAATTAATTTATTTGTACATGAATATCCAGGTCAGAATGTTAATTAGCATACATACTACAGACACCAGTGGGAGCTTCCTCCAAAAGTTTAACCTACAACTACCACTTCATCTAACAAGTCTACTACTAAGTATACTTTCAGGACGAAAGAAATCAGTCCATGCAAGAGACATCTGCCATCCTATGTGGACTGCAGCACTATTCACAATTGCCAAGACAAAGAATAGACTTACCTGCCCATCCACACATGAAGGGATACCTGGTGTATGTGCACAAATAGAATCGTCTTCAGCTAGAAAACCGGAATGAAATGTCATCATTTGGAGCCACGCTGTTGAACTTGGAGGACATCATCTATGACCTAAGACAGGCAGAAAAAGAACAACTAATGTAGAATCCAAAATAAAAGGCTTTATTGCATAGGTCTAGAAAGCACAATAGTAGTTACTAAAGGTTGGAGGGAAGAAGGGGCACAGGCAGAGGTCAGAAATAGGCACAAAGTTACACTTAGATAAGAGGAATGAATCGCTCCTCACTGGTCCACAGCCAAGTGACCAGAGGTTAACACAACATCACACCCTTTCCACAAAATCTGGGAGATTCCAAATGTTTTCACCACAAAGAAATTCGCAACTGTTTCTGATAAGAGAGGCTCTAAATATCCTGATTTGATCATTCCTCTGTGTCTGCATTAATCAAAATGCCCCACTCTAACTCCCCCCTTTGTATACCTTCACCATATGACCAACCTTTTAAAAACTATGTCAATATGCAATGCTAAAATTCATGTGGTCCATAAAACACACTGAATTTCCAAAGCAATCCTGAGAAATCCAAACTAACTCGGTTGTGTCACAGTTCCTGATGTAAAATTTCATTGAAAAGCTAGGGACCCCATTCCACACAGAGCAGTGGAACAGATTAGAGGACCCAGACTGAAACCCTCACCCCTAACACCATCTCATCTTCAACAAAATCCACAAAAATAAGCTTTGGAGAAAGGACTCCCTCTTTTCAATAGATGGTGCTGGCATAAATGACTAGCCAGCTGCAGAAGAAAAACAGTGGGCCCTGTGCCTCACGGTGTACAGACACAAACTCAAGATGAATGAAAGACGTAAATGCAAGACCTCAAACTATGAAAAGCCTGCAAGAGAACCTAGAAACAGCCTTCCTGACAGAGGATTTGGCACAGCGTGGATATGTCTCAGTCTCCAAAAGCAAGTGCAACTAAAACAATTATTGCCCAGTGGCACCTAATACACAAAGAGCTGCTGCACAGAAGAAATGACCAACAGAGTGAACAGACGGCCCGCACAACGGGAGAAAATGTTCCCACGCATGCATCTGATGAAGGCTAATATCCCGGATCCACCTTAAAGATGTTAAGCAAATAAACCAGGAAAACAAAAACTCAATGAAGAAAGGGCAAGGGGCATGAAAACACACGCCTCAAAAGAAGGCTTACAGCAACCAACAGACATGACAACACTTCTCTGCCTCAGTCAGCATCAGAAAGAGGCAAAGCAAAAGGCCCACGAGATAGTATTTCACACCGGCCAGAATGACGATTAGGACACAGTCCCCAAGAACGAATGCAGGCGAGGCAGAGGACAGGGACGCTGCTCTGCTGCTGGTGCAAATGCAAACCAGTTCAGACACCATGGAAAGCAACGTGGGGATTTCTCAAATGACTTTCTCCACATCACTAATACTCACAAAAACGTCCATGGAAACCATGCTAAGATTCCGTCTCCTTCCACTCACTATGAATACTACCAAAAACAAAACACAAATTTTGGAAGGCGCCAGCCAGTGTAGACTTACAGAAAGGTGACCTCTTCAACACTATTGGTGGAGACCTGAACTACTATACACACACTGAGAAACAGCAAGAGGTTCCTGAAAAACTTCACGGTACAACTACCATGTCAGCTGGCAGCCCCACCACTGGTTCCACATTTAAAGCAGTTGAAATCCCTGGGCTGAAGAGAGCTATCTGCCTTCCATGGGTACTGAAGCACTTGTAACTGTGGCCAAAGTACAGAACCAACCTACCTGTCCACCCGCAGCTGCAGGGATGAAGAAACTGCTGTACAGATACACCATGGAGTATGTTCCAGCCATAAAGCTCTGGGAATCCTGCCATCTGCAGCCACATGAAGAAACCTGGAGAACATCAGGTCCAACGAATGAGCCTGGTAGAGAAAGTCCCATTCCACACGATCCCAGGCATGCAGACTGAAAACATCTTCACCTCCTAGAAGCAGAAAGTTCAATAGGGGTTACTAGAGGTTGCTGGGAAAATGGAGAGGGTCTGGGAAGGAATCAATAATGGGTAAAAACTTCCCCTCAGATGAGAGCAATCAATTCTGGTCTTCTATTCCACAGCAGGGTGACTGGCCTTAACACAAATGTAACATATGTCTCAAAGTAGCTAGAAGAAAATATTCTGAATGCTGTTACCACACAAAAAAATCATAACTATACCAGGTGAAGAGATGCTAAATAACCCAATTTGATCATTACTCAGAATACACATGTATCAAAATCTTCCCTGTACCCTCTCATTATATACATTTATATATGGCAAACGGTATTTTAAGATATATAAAGAAAACAATGTCAAAATTTATATGGAAATGTGAAACACCCTGAATTTCCACAGTTACCCTGAGAAACACAAACCACGTGGCATGTATCACATTCCCTGAGTTCTAATTAAATGAAAATCCCTAGTTAACCAATCCATATGCTACTGGTAAACACAGAGAAACACAGACAGACCAGTGAGCAAAATGAGGGTGTTTAATAATAAACAGAAATTTATATAGAGTGAATACATTTTTTCAAAACACTATCAAACTGACACAATGGGGAAGGTTTTCAAAACTAGGTATCCATATGCAAAAGAATAGTACAGGACTCTCATGGTATGAAATACACAATAATCAACTGAAAAGGATTAAAGATTATACACAAAACTTGCAACCATAAAGCTCCTATAAAGACAACCTCACTGTGCGGATATTTATTGCAACTTGGATGTATGCTCACGATTTGCAAAAACAAAAATACAAGGAAAAGAAAATCGTGGACAATGGACTGCTTTGGTAGTGATTGAGTTTTTTCTTCATTAGTAACCAACAGCGCAGCTAACCAAGAAATCATACACATGTGGGGCCACGTCACACTAAGGAGTTTGTGTCTAACAAACAATGAATAAAATGAAAAAGCATACTAAAAACTGTAAGAAACATTTGGGCAAACATTCAGTTGGATAAGGGGTTATTTTTGAAAAGGTACAAGCCAGTAAAACTACCGGCTGGCAAAAAAAAAAAAAAGGAGAAAAATAACCAAACCAAATAACCTGAAGAGATATTTGTGCAGACAAGAAACTGATGCAACATTTGCAAAAATGTGGTTACCGTTACTATGCACGAGAAAAATGAAGATCAAAACCACACTCAGATCTTATCTCACTCCAACTAGAATGAACATTACAAACAGATTAAAATATTTAAAAAGACAACTTCTAGTATGAATTTCCACAAAGGGGAACTGTTTGTGGAAACGTATATTAGTATTAATGCTATAAAAAACAGTTGGGGGTCCTGCAAAGAATAGAAAGGAAAAACAGCATACCAGCTAGCATTCCCACTACTGGGTATACACTCAACCAACCTGTCCATCCACAATGGGATCAAGAAACTCTCGTATGCATACACTAGGGAATATTCTTTGGCCACCGAAATGATGAAACAGTGCCATGTGCAGCAACCCAGATGGACCTGGAAAACATAATGAGCTGGGACAAGAAAGACAAACACTGAATCTTAAGCTGTCTCTCTTAAAGAGGTAAAAAGCACAATATTGGTTACCAGGGTCTGGGAGATAGAGGGGGAGTAGGGATTGGTTATGGAAGCAAAGTTATCTTAACTTTAAAGGAATCAAACTGAGTGTTCTCCTCAGCCTGGTGACCGGAGTTAACAATATTGTATTTTTCAAAAGAACAAGAAAGGAGAATTTTATGTGTTCTCGCCACACAAAAATAATACCTCATGAGGGAACAGGGATTCTAAGTACCCTGATTTGTTCATTACCCAATCTATACATGTGAAAACGTACCCCTAATTATCACCTTTATGTTGCGAAAAAAAAGTTAACAGAAATAAATACGTATTGCTAAAAATCACAGGGAACCATAAAAGCAATTCATATCTAAAGGAATCCTGAGAAATTCAATCAAAGTGAGGACCCACAATCCTCGATATTAAATCACATTGCCAAGCCGCAGTTATGCAGCACATATATGGTACCTGGATAAAAACAATACCTAGAATTGTGGATAAAAATGGGGAGGCCAAAACAAGATCAACGCAAATATGGACATAGTCAACTCACTTTGATAAAGACCACCGCAGTGTGGCAGGCAGAGTCTGCTCAATGAATACCTTTGAGAAAGATGTTATCTGAATGCAGAAGAGAGAAACAGGACCCTGATTTTGCATCATATATGAAAATCGACACTACCACCCCCCCCCCCCGCAAAAAACAAACAAACCAAAAAAACCCCCAAAGACCAGAACAAAAGACCATAAACCACAAAATGTTTTTAACTAAAACACAGGTTGAGCATATATTCTGGGTCACTTGACTCTCTGCTCACCTTTGCAAAGAGAGAAAGAAACAAACACCCTGGAAGGAAAACCTCCTTGACAATTAAACGCTTTGTCACTGATAAGTATTTTCTTATATGGGTGACCAGAATTACATGCATCAAGCGCAAAAATAAACATGGACTACATCAACCTGAAAAGTTTCTGCACCACAAAGAAACTACCTTCCAAATTAAAAAAGCATCCTATAGATTAGGCAAAAATTTCAGGTAATCATGTAATTCATGAGTTGTCATCTAAGGTGTACACAAAAAAACACTACAAAGTAGCAAAAGAATCTAATATTTCGCAAAGGACCTGAACAGACAATTCTGCGACAGAAAATCGAACAACAGATAAAAGGTCCTCAAAATTATCCAACAAATTAATTAACTGTGTGTGGTTTAATTGAAACCCACACACGGATAATCTCACACTTATTGAATATCCCTAGAAAGTTTTTTAAAAACAGGAGAGGCCAGGCTCGGTGGCTTACGCCAGTAATCCCAGAACTTTTGGGAGTCCGAGGCAGCAGATCACCTGAGGTCAAGAGTTTGAGACCAGCCTGATCAATATGGAGAAACCCCGTCTTTACTACTGATACAAAAATCAGCCTGGCGTGGCGGCGGGCCCCTGTAGTCCCAGCTACTCAGGAGGCTGAGACAGGAAAATTGCTTGAACCCGGGAGCGCAGGTTGCAGGGAGGCCAGATGGCACCACTGCACTCCCGCCGGGGCAGAACGAGATTGTCTCCAAAGGAAAAAAAAAAAAAAAAAAAAGGAACACGGGTATGGTTTTGGAGAAAAGGGAACTCATACACTGTAAATGAGAATCAGAATAGACACCTCGGAAAACAGCGAACTACCTGGAGACTCCTCAAAGAATTCACACTACAAATGTCACCTGTTCTATTGGGTTCTAGCGAGGTCTCTCTCTAAAGGTCCTGAAACATCAAATAACCCTGGACCTCAGCTCAGAGGGCCGGGGGCTCGGAGGGTCCCAGGTCCCGCGCTTCACCGCGGCCTCTGGGCCAGGTGCTCCTACAGGCTGGACGCGGGTCGCACACCGTTCCCGGCCAGGGTGCGCACGCTGCGGCGGCCAGGACCCCACAACCACCGCCACGCAGACTACTGGGGCCCAGATGCCCACAAGGAGTCAGGGCCCAAAAGCGAGCGGTGGGGAAGGAGCAGGGAGGCCCGGAGGGTTCCGGGGGGGTCCATGCCCCGCCACTTACCGCGGAAGCGTCCCTCCTGCTCCTCCATCACATGGAAGCCACCACGGCTTCTCCGAAGCTCGCCGCTTCTGGACGCCGCCACTTCTGTTCGCTGGGACGCGGCCTCCGCTTTTGCCGGCTGGGACCGCGCGGTCGCTTCTGCTCGCTGGGACGTCGACTGCGCTTCTGCCCACTAGGACTACGCCCCAGACTCTGGCCGCCGCTTTCGCTCGCTCAGACCACATCGCCGCCGCTTCCGTTGGCTTCAACGACGCCGCGGCTTCTGCCCGGGCCCCGCGGAAAGAGCCGTCTCGGCTTCCGTAGAGGCGCGCACGCCGGCAGCGTCCCTAGCGACTGGCTGAAGCACCACCCCTTCTTAAAGGGGCCGCGGCTCGGACTGCACAGAAGCAGCTTCGCGTTGCGGCCCAGGCTGAGCCTCTGCCCAGCCCCAGCGGTGGACGAAAGGCCCCCCAGTCTCTCCTCCCGGCTCTAGGGCCCTAGAGATCACAGGAGTGGAGCCCTGTGACCCCAGCCCCGAGATCGGCTCCCTTTGCTTGGGGAGCTTCCAGGGCCTGCCCCTGCCCTCCTCTGGACCTCAGCTTCACGATCCGCAAAGGAAGCGGCCTGGCCGGAGCTGTGGGGTCCCTCAAGCGCGGCGCCTCAGGATGCAGGGCGGGCTCCCTGGTCCCTCTGCAGAGGGGGCCCTTAGAACCACGGAAAGCTGGGGGCTGCAGGGACAGTCCAGCAGGGAGGCCTCCCCGGCTTCCCTGTCCGCATCCGTCCTGTGGGAGCCGGGGGGGCCTCACCGGGGCTGCCTGGGTCACCCGGCTCCCCAGGAGGCAGGCAGGGGCCCTGGGGTCCAGCGCCGCAGCACCTCAACTCCATCCGAGGTCAGCGCCCGGAGGGGCCCTGCGGACTGGACCCAGCCCGCCCCTTCCCATGGAAAGGGACCCGCATCGCATCTGTCTCTGTGACACCCATGGGAGGGCCGTGCTGGCCTCCCGGGGATCTGGGGCGAGGCGGGGGAATCCCAGCCACCTGGCCATCATGCTGAAACCTTGTCTCTACTAAAAATACAAAAATTAACCGGGCGTGGTGGCGCCCGCCTGTAATCCCAGCTACTGGAGGGGCTGAGGCAGGAGAACCGCTTGAACCCGAGGAGGAGGTTGCATTTCTGGGGTCACTTCAGTCTCTGCCTCCCAGACTTAAGCAATTCTCCTGCCTCAGCTTCCCGAGTAGCTGGGATTACAGGCACCCGCCACCGTGTGTGGCTAATGTTTGTATTTTTAGTAAAGAGAGGGTTTCACCATGTTGCCCAGGCTGGTCTCAAACTCCTGACCTTGTGATCTGCCATCTTGGCCTCCCAAAGTGCTGAGATTACAGGTGTGAGCCACCTTGTCCGGCCGTGTCAGGAGTTCAAGACCAGCCTGACCAACATGCTGAAACCACATCTCTACTAAAAATACAAAAATTAGCCGGGCATGATGGCACATGCCTGTAATCCCAGCTACTTGGGAGGCTGAGGCATGAGAATCACTTGAACCCAGAAGGCGGAGGTTGCAGTGAGCCACTGTACTCCAGCCTAGGCGACAGAACGAGACTTCGTCTCAAAACAAAAGCAAAAACAAAATAATAGTCAAAATGGTAAAGACAGAAAGTAGAGTGGTGGTTGCCAGGGGCTGGCAGAGGAGGGAACAGGGAGTTTGTATTTAACGGGTAGAGAGTCACCAAAGCACGCTGAGAGTGCCCCAGCCCGGGAGCTAAGCAGGGTCAGGCTTGGCTAGGGCTTGCATGGGGGAACACCTGGAGGGACAGGGGGCTGGGGACTTGTGGCTTCTTGCCTCCTTACTGCTTTCCTCCAATTGTCGCAACTCTTTCTATCTGCCCCCAACTCTTTGGCCAGCCCTTTTGCGCCTGCCTGCACCCCTGCTCTGGCCTGGGACCTCACCTTTTTGAAGGCACCAAATTTCATTGAAGCTAAGAGGGGTCGAACCTGGCTTGGGCTAGGATTGGGGACTGCCCAAGGAGATGGGGCTGGTTGCTTTTGGCTTCTTACTCTTTTCCCATTTTTCCTGCTTGTCACAAAGCGTTCCAACAGCCCAATGATTTCTGGCTTTTCCTTATTGACTTCCACACACTCCTGTGCCCACTCTGTGTTGTGAAGTGTCCCTGAGGAGGACCATGATAGCAGCCCTTGGGCTTCATAGCAGCCTGAGGGTGCCCCAACATAGAAGCTAAGCAGGGTAGAGCTTTGGTGGGGCTTGGACCGGGGACTACCTGGGGAGACTGTGGTCTAGAGGCTTTTGGCTTCCCACTCCCGTTTGGTTTTTTTTTGCTTGTCACAACACTTCCCAACCACTCTCTAACTCTCTGGCATTTCTTTTCCAGCTAACCTGCCCCCCACCCGTGGCAGGCACCTGCCTATGGGGCTTCATCTATGCAGCCTCTGCAAACCATAGCAGTCTGAAGGTCAGGGTGTGGTTGAGAAATGTTGCTACAAGGGGGAAAAGGTCGAAAAGAGCAGGAAGCCAAAAAGCTCGAAGCCTGGTCATTCCACGTGGTACCCCATCCAAGCATCTGTTAGTCCCAACCCTGCTTAGCTTCTGGGCTGGGGGTCCTCAGTCTACTACGGTGATGGGAGGCTGCTGGAACAAACCCCCATGGAGAAGTTGCAGTTCAAGGTGGGGGCACTGGCGGGAGGAAATGGGAGATTAGGGAGTCAGAGGGCAGTTGGAAATCGTTGCCAAAAGTGAAGGAAAGCAGGAAGTTAGCAGGAGTCCAAAAGTCTCCAGCCACCGGACTCCCAAGGTGGTCCCTCATGCCCTACTCTGCTCAGCTTGCATGCTGGGGCACCCTCAGGCTGCTATGCCAACTGGAGTCAGCTGGGATGGACCCCCACGGGGAGGTCTGAGTATGCGTTGGGAGTGATATGGTGTCCAGAGAGTCCAGGGGTGGTTAAGAAGTGTTTCAATAAGAGGAGGAAAGTGGGAAAAGAACGGGAAGCCAAAAGCCTCCAGCCCTGATCTCCCCAGGTCGTTCCCCATCCAAGCTTCAGTTAAGCCAAACCCTGCTCAGCTTCCAGGATGAGCCACCCTCAGCTGCAGGGGCCCACGGAGCCTGCCAGTACAAACCACTACAAAGAGGTACCAGGCTGCAGTGAAAACACCGGCAGGTGGGGGCCAGGAAGCTAAGCAAGGACCAGCCTGGCAGGGACTTGGATGGGGGACCGCCTGGAAAGACTGGGGCTGGAGGCTTTTGCCTCTTCATCTTCGTCAAGCTTTTCCTTCTTGTCCCAACGCTTTCCCTCTTGCCTACACCCACACCAAGACCTTGGACCTCCCCAGGTGGGTTTGTCTCAGCAGCCCCTAGGTGCCATAGTAGCCCTAGGGCACCACAGCCCAGAAGCTAAGCAGGGTCAGGCCTGGTGGGGCTTAGATGGGGACTGCATAGAAAGGCAGGTGCTGGAGGCATTTTCTTTCAGACATCAACAAGCTTTCTCCCACTAGTCCCAGGGCTTCCCAACCGCACCTGAATCTGCATCTTTTTTTCCCACTTGCCTAGACCCACGCCTTGTCCCAGGACTTCCCCATTTGGGTTTGTATCGGCTGTCCCAAGGCACCGTAGCAGCCCTAGGGTGCCACGTCCCAGAAGCTACGCAGGGTCTTGCTTGGCTGGCGCTTGGATGGGGGACCACACCGGGAGACCAGCAGCTGGAGACTGTTGCCTTCCCCGTTTCTTCCACGTTGCCCCACTTGTCCCAACCACCCTCTGACTCACTGGCTCCACCTTTTCTGCCAGCTTGCACCCCTTGGCAGCCCAGGACCTTCTTCTGAAGGTCCTCCCAGCAGCCCTCAGATGCCATAGTACCCTGAGTGTGCCCCAGTGTGAAAGCTAAGCACGGTTGAGCCTGGCTGTGGCTTGGATGGGGGGCTGCTTGGGAAGACCAGGGGCTGGAGGCTCTTTACTTTGCACACCCTTTTCTCTTTCCCCAACTTGTCCAGATGCTTCTCAACTGGGGGCTGGAGGCTCCCCCCCCCCCACACCGCTTTTCACTTTTCCCTACTTGTCCCAACGCTTCTCAACTGCCCCCTGACTCTGGCCCCATATTCCATCAGCCTGCAAGCCTGTTGTGGCCTGGGACCTCCTTGTAAGATTTCCTCCCTGTAAGATCCCTGGTGCCATAGCTTTCTGAGGGCACACCAACCCAGGAGCTAAGCAGGGTCGGCCGTAGCTGGGGCTTGAATGGAGGATGGCCAGAGGGTATAGGGGGCTAGAGGCTTTTGGCTTCTGGCTCCTTTCCCTCCTTCCCTCAAATGTGGCCACCCTTCCCAAATACCCCCTGACTCTGGCCAGCCCTTTTCAGCCTGCCAGCACCCAAGCGATGGCCCAGGACCTCCCTGAATGGGCTTGCCTCTGAAGTAGCCGATAGCCACTGCAGCCTGTGGGTGCCTCCGCCCAGAAGCTAAGCAGGATACATCCCAGCTTGGGCTTGGATGGGGGACTGCCTAGGGAGACAGGGGCTAGAGGCTTTTCACTTCCAGTTTTTTTCTCAATTTCCCCTACTTGTCACAAAGATTTCCAGCCTTCTCCTGACACTCAGGCTGTCACTTTCCTACTCCCGCATGCTTGTGCCCCCCTTCCACATCCTGGGGCATCCCTGAGGGGGTCTGTCCCAGCAGTCGCTGGGTGTCATGGTAGCTCAAGGATGCCTCAGCCTAGAAGCCAAGTGGAGTCAGGCCTCGATGGTGCTTGGATGGGGTCCGCTGGGGAGACTGGAAGCTGAGGCTTTTGGCTTCCCTCGCCCTCCTGTTTTTTTGCTTGTTGCAATGCTTCCCAACAAGCTGCTAACTCTCTGGCCCTCACATTTCATCCCACCTGTTCCCCACTGTGGCCAGGGACCTCCCTGTTGGTGTCTGTCATGGCAGCTCCTCAGGTGCAGTAGCAGCCTGAGGTCACCCCAGCTCAGAGCTAAGCAGGATAGGGACTGGCTGGGACTTGGATCGTGGACCGCCTGGGGAGATAAGGGCCTGGAAGCTTTCGGCTTCCCGCTCCCTTCCCACTTTCTTCGGCGTGTTGCAATGCTTTCCAACTAAACCCTAAGTCTCTGTCCTTTTCTTTTTGACCCCCTACACCCCTGTTGCGGCCCTGTCAGCAGCTACCAGGTGACATAGCAGCCTGAGGGCTCCCCAGCCTGGAAGCTGCGCAGGGTCAGGCCTTGCTTTGGCTTGTATGAAGGACCACAAGGGGAGACCGGGGGCTGACAGTTTGGGCATCCAGCTCCTTTTCTCATTCCCCCACTTCCTGCAGTGCCAAAAGCAGGGGAATGTGGGAAGTGAGCAGGAGGCCAAAAGCCTCCAGCCCTGGTCTCCCCAAGTGGTCTCCCATTCAAGCCTCATTCAGTCATGATCGCCTGTGAGGCCTTTAAGGGCAAACCCCCATACAGAGGTCCAGGGCTGCAACAGGAAAGCCTGTGGGCAGGGCCCCAGAAGTTAAGCAGGGTCGGGCTTGGCAGAGTCTTGGATGGGGGTCTGCCTGCAAAGACCGGGGGCTGGAGTCTTTTTCCTTTTCACCTTCTTAAAGATTTCCCCTGCTTTTCCCAACGCTTCCCAACTGCCCCCGACTCTGTCTCCCATTTCCCGCTTGCCTACGCCCCTTCCAAGGCCCACAAACTCCCCTCATGGGTTTGTCTCAGTAGTCTCCAGGTGCCATAACAGCCCTAGGGCACTACAGCCCGAAAGCTAAGAAGGGGCAGGCCTGGCTGGGGCTTGGATGGGGCTTGGATGGGGGACTCCCTGTAAATACCACGGGCTGGAGGCTTTTGCCTTTTGCCTTCTTTAAGCTTTCTCCACTTGTCCCAATGCTTGCCAACCACCCTGACTCTCTGTTCTTTCTTTCCCGCTTGCCTACACCCCTGCTGCAGCCAGGGTCTTCCCTGTATGGGTCTGA